CGGTGAAACTGGAAGATCTTCACACACCGGGCTTCTCGCAAGCAGAGCTTCAGCTTGGAAACTCTTTTCTTCTCGGGATCTTCAGGCTTCGGGACTCGCTTCGGGTCTCAGGATGATACCGGGGCTTTGGGGGTACTTCTTTGCACGTAAATCGAGGCAATATGGGTGAGAGAAGAGTGAATTAGCAACCTTGGCCAGTTGCCCCTTCAATTCTATTTATAGGGCTGATTTCTTGAAATTCACGTCATGAACCCTTATTTCACGTCATGATCTTGATCGTCATTGCAAGCGTCATCGCAAGTTGGGTCTGACAGGCTCTGAAAGGTCAAATCACTGAGCTCACGTCGTGAACACACTGTTCACATCGTGAACACTGACTCAGTGTCGAAAATCATGCCCCGAACTTCAGAAATTCATATCTTTCGCATACGAGCTCTGTTTTCGATGTTCTTTATATCCACACGTATGTGAGATTATGCTCTACAACTCTCGTTTAGACTTCATCGGCTAATTTGGACTTTATTTTTATTATATTTTTATTATATTATTTTTAGTAGGTTGGGACAAGAAAACTTCGTTAGGAATTCATAACTCCGCTATTCAACGTCGGTTTTCATCTGTCTTTTCACTGTTGGACTACTATCGACGAGATATTCAATTCTCATTTAGATTGTTTCGGCTAAACATTGTTCGATCTCATATTCGAACTTTGGGCTGCATACCGCTAAGTTGAAACTTCGAAAAATCGTAACTTCCTCATACAAAGTCAAATTTAGATGTTCTTTTTATGCACGCTCTCGGTTTAACATATTCTATGAATTTTGTTTATATCACTAAGGCTAGATATCGCTCTATCTTAAATTCATATTTTACGTGATACAACATCGTGCCGGTTCTGTCGCGAAACTTCGACACGTCATAACTTCTTCGTTATAACTCGAATTTTGGCATTCTTTATATATCCAGAAACCTCGTCACGACCACTACCACGTCTTTCATAGATATCGGGTTACTCTAACATTTCATTTTGACTCTTATTTTTATCCTTAATTCATTTAAGTCACACAATTAAGCATAAAACACATAATACTCAAATAATACATCTTTATTATTCCAAGACGGGTTACAAAGGTTAACCTAGACTATTACATCGACATTAATGACTAGCCCAGAAACACAGGCGTTAAATAAACCATGTTGGATATACAAAAGAATTTGTATGCAACAGAAGGAAACGAATGTGTTTGATCCAATGTTGATTATTCTCTTAGTCTGATGGTGTTTTTTTAATAACAATAGTTTATTTGCAATTAAAATCCAAGTTTGTTTGTTCTTGAAGTGAATTGGTGTATTTGTTATCCAAAATAACTTGAAAATCAAAGTATCCTAAATTAAAAACAAACAAATTAGAGCACCACTAAAAATTAAGCACATATTTGTAAAACCAAAGGGTACAACATTTGTTTGATGCCTCATCATCATCAGTCCCTAAGTTCCAATCACATATTTTCATCATTCATCCTGATATTCGTACCCAAATTACACAATCCCCCCCCCCCCCCAAATACAAACATTGAAAACATCAGTAAAATAAAGAAAGAAAGAGGGAGTAGAAGGTGAGTGCTTTTGACAGTTCTAACCTGGGTAGTAGTCACATTCCAAAATCAAAAAAAGAAAAAAGTTATGGCTCAGTCCGGCCGGTTGAACCACCGTTGCCGCCAACTTTACCCCTTTCCCTCTGTGTCCATTCATGGGCGAAGCAGAGGTTTTGTTAGATAATATATACGAAATCCTTTGAATCAGCTGTGTTGAAAATACGCCGACTACATTGAAAGGGTGTGTCGATGGTGGGTGAAATAGTTGTGGAGGTGGTCGTCTGGGGAATGCAATCGATGATTATGTGGAAGTGGTTATACCAGTGGGGTGGGGCGATCGTCAGCTTCATCTCCACCAGTGGGACGTCAAGTCCGGATTGAAAATCGACATTGGTGTGGTTGATAATTGGTTAAGGGAAGAGCGAGAAAGGAACAAAGAAATAAGAAATCAGATGAAGGAAGATATTGGATTACAAAGGTGGTGGGAAGGATCCGGAGGCGGTTACCGTAGTAGAGTTACAATAACAATGGTGGAGTTAGGTACTATTCCTAACTCTTAACTTCTTTAATATATATATATATATATATATATATATATATATATATATATATATATATATATATATAATATATATATATATATATATATATATATATAGTGGTTCAAATGACAAATTAGAACCATAAAAGATTAAGAACCCTAAGAACCATTTTTAATTTTTTTGCATTAAAGATATTTTGGACAAATCAAACATTAATAGAATAAGGCAGTTGCCATTAAGAACCATAGTTTGCAACTAGTTGACACTTGTTGTCGGACCGTCATCGAACCACCATCGGACTACTCCTGGACCACCCGCAGACCACCGCCAGACTAACACCAAATTTAGTGACATATTTCGGGTCGTATTCACAATTCACAATTTAATAGAGCAAACATTGTTACTCTGATTTCTTTGGTAATACTTTTTAGCATATATTATTTTATTTTTTTAGCAAAATATACAAAATTTAATAACAAAGTATAGAATTATGCCTTCACAAATTCAATTTTCTGTTTTCTAAATTTTAGATTTGTTAAGAAAAATATATCGTTTATAAGACATTCTTTATATTCACAGTTTCAAATATAATTTTCACAGTTTAATAAGCATATTAATTCACTAATAAATAGTTTAATATATTTATGCATACATTCATTTATATTTTAACACAAAAATTATATAAAATATACAATTTAATACAGTCAATTGTTAGTTTAAAACATAAAATTTACAACATAATACAATTAATTATACACTAATTCACATATTAAAAAAAAAAAAAAATCAAACCTAGGATCTGCCACCACCTGCTACTTGTTCCATCAGCGCAAATAACGTTCCTTTCAAATCAGATTTGTATATAAAATCATGGATTAATAGCTTAAATACTATAAATATAATTTAATAAACCAATTAATTCACTAATTCAAAGTTTAATACAAAATAACTATAAAAACTCATAAATTTTAGATATTTATACAACACACAAAATAAATATATTCACAAGGATATTAATACAAACATTCATACATCAAACATTTATATTTTAACACAAAATTCATTAAAAAATTCACAGCTTAATACAATAAATTCATAGTTTAGCACACATAATTCACAGCTTAATATAATAAATTTACAATTTAATACATAAAAATTATACATTCATAGCCATATTCTCAACTTAAAATTTATATTTATACCTTCAAATATTGAGACCACTGCTTATTTTAAAGTTCTTTTACACGCTATTCACAATTTAAATTTCACATACTTTATTCAAAATTAAATAAAATCAGATCGATGTATAATGCGTTTCTTTCGTAATATATATTAGAAGCAAACAAAATATTTATAAAAAATCACAACTTAATATTACTCAATTCATATTTTAACACAATTAATTCACAGTTTAATACAAAGAATTCATACATTAATATACTCAATTTACAGTTTAAACAGAAAATTCTCAACTTAATATAGTCAATTCATAGTTGAAAACACGAAAATCACATCTTAATACACGAAAGTCAACTTAATACAATAAATTCAAAGTTTAGTAAACAAAAAATATGCATTGATAAACATATTATCAACTTAAAACTCTTGATACAGTCACTTCAGATTTTAATACACAAATTTCATAGCTTATACAATAAATTCACAGTTTAGTTCAAAAGAATTATACATTTACAACTTAACGACAGTTAAAATTAAGGTTAACAAGAATAGACAAAAAAAATGGAAGATTAAAATATTAAATCCACACCTTAACAGAAAGAGAAACAAGAAAAAAAATTACATCATAGTTGTAAGTAGAAATTTAATACAAATAGTTATACATAAGTTATTCGTATTTTAATTTAAATTTTATAGTCCATTCACAACTTAATAAATAATCTATTCACAACTTAATACATAGTTCATTCACAACTTAATAAAATTATATCATTGTCTAGGTATAATAAGATTTATTTATGAATCTCCACTTTGATTCTAATTACAAATTTTTAGTAACCTCATTTTCATTTTACATGTTTACTAACAAAGTTTACTTCACACATTAGTATATTAGCATACATAATTATATATATATATATATATACACACACACACACACACACACACACACATATATATATATATATATATATATATATATATATATATATATATATATATATAGGTGTATGTTATTGTGTGTATACCTTATTATATTTATATATTACTATTTATAACTAATACCTAAACCACTTATTCTATCTACTCTAACTAATTCCTAATTCAAAAGTGAGTAGAAAGGTACCTACAAAAGTAAAGCATTACAATCTAAGCTTTTCTTTTTCTCTTGTTTGCTTTTCAGCTTTTAGGATTTCCAAATCAATAAAATATTCATTAAAGGTTGACATCTCCTTTTTGCCTCTTCTAATTCCCATTCGCATTTGTCGCTTTTACTTTTCTGGTGGCACCATTGGTGAATTATTCCCTTATATTGAGCTATCCTCGCAAAAGCTCATCATAAAAAAAATATCAACCAGATCTGGAACAAAAACACAAACAGATGTGGCCGATCTCACAAAGGAACATCGACCAATGCTTGAAACAGCATAATTAACACCAATAACAGAGATTGAAGATTTTGAAACTCGAATTCGCTTAGATCTAAACATATTTGGACTAGAAACACCACCAGAGTAAAGAAAAAACCATTAGAATCACTAGAATCAAACCAGATTTACGCACGAAGTGTAAAGGTAAGTCATCAGATTCATAAATCTCTTGACAAACCATCAGATATGATATTCGTTACTGGTGCTTCCCCGGGTATTGCATATAAGGAGTTGATGTTCATTTGCTAGAGGTGTTAGTTCGTTCTTCCTGAGAAGTAACGACAGTAGCAGACCCCCACGGTGATGGCGGTGGTAGTGTCGTCATCGAAAATAGTGGTAGTAATCGGAGGTTGTAACAGAGGAAGAGATGTCGCGTTGGATGGGCTATCGCCGATGGTATGGTGGTGGAAAGGATGCGGTCGACGGTGGTGGAGGTGTTGTTGTTCTTCCACATGGTTGAGGAAGTTGAGAGACATTTTGTTGTTGAGAGAAATTATGCTCAAATCTAAATCTAAGATCTGGAAGAATAGACATAAAATAAAAAAATGGGGTCTAAACTTTGTTTGATTTACCATCTGGAGAAAAATAACTCGATAAATAAAAAATACTCTATTGATCATAAGGTGAAAATAATAGGTTCTTAGGGTTCTTAACCTTTAGTGGTTCTCATTTGAACCTTTACCAATATATATATATATATATATATATATATATATATATATATATATATATATATATATATATATATATATAAATACCTTAAAAAGCATTTACCTCTTTTAAGACAAGAAAGTCTTAAATTTAAGTAGTACAAAACTTAAAACATCAAATACAATTATTCCATGCACAAATATTCTTAGATATCGCATATGTTTGACTAATCCCATAAAAATGTTAGATATAACCACATTTAAAGAAAAATAAGGAAATGAATTGGTCAATGTTGACCAAATATTCCAAATTTAATCTGATATGTTGACTAGTTATTTATATATCCCTCCCGTATGAAATGCTAAAATCTCAATTCCTCTCTCAAAATTCCGTCTCCCAATAAATCCTCGACGCCTCCCCCAATTCTCTCATTTGAATTGAAGTTTAGAAATACGAACTCTCTCTCTTAAACTGGTTGATTCCCTGTTGTTAAATCCCAGGGGCAAATCACATGTAAGGTATATTTTTCTCTCTCTTTATGGGTTTTAATCTCACACAAACACATACATACCGAAAAACACACCGCCATCGAACCACTTACTGCCACCATCGCAGAAAATCCATCATGCCAGTCGTCGCCGCCTACCACCACCTTCGTAATCTCCATCAGCCACCATTCGTACCCTTGAGACCATCTTCAACACATTTATTTTAGATTTATAGGTTTGGATATTGTTGTTCCATTTTTTTCTTTTCGATTTATACGCTCGATTTGTAGTTGTAACCTACCAATACCTTCATCGCCATCAGCCACCAAGGGTACCTTCGATACCATATTTTTTGTATATTTTTTCAATTAAAAGATTTGGATTTTGTTGTTAATTTTTCTTTTTTATTTACAGGTTCATCTTTCTGGTAACTATGCACCAAGGGTTATCTATATGAGTATCGTTTGTACCCGTTCGCTCTGATTTAGTTTTTATATCGATTTTGTTTTTCCCCCAATTCTTGATTTTGATTAACCTGTTGTAACATCCATAAAATTCACACCAAATTAAAACTTTTTCAACCTATTAAAACCATTAAGTTATTACAATTTGTTTTCAAAATAGTTTCCTATCAGAGTTCCCAGAAATCATAGTCATAATCTGAGGAAGTGAACGGTAATTCCTTTGCCTTCCCGTGGTCATCCGCTGCACCTGAAACAATAATCAATAAATGTTAGGTCGAAGGCTTAGTGAGTTACCCCCAAAATACCAACCTCATATCACCATAATCGTAGCATATCATATAAACCAATAGAGAACAACCATGCATCTCAAGTCTACAGTGTGACTGGTCCGCCCGCACCGGGCCTTCAGTCCACCTGGTCCACTCTCTGAGTCTAAAGTATGACTAGACTGCCCGCACCAGGCCTTCAATCTGGACCACTCTCCGAGCCTCGGCACGTCTGGACCGCCCTCTCGGGGTCTTCAGCCTATCCGGACCGCTCGTCAGGCCTTCGACCTAACTATGTACCCTCTCGGGTCTGCAGTCTAACTGGTCCGCCCTGGGTATGCTGGCCTACGACACAAAGCAGGACCCACCTCAACCTATCCCCCCGATCAAACAACCATGTGCATATATAACAGATGATCACATACAATCTATAGACAACAACCGATCTAACAGATCACATAGCATAACAACATCCTATAACCAAGATACCGACCTAACCGGTCACTGACATAGCATCATCCTAAATACCAGGATACCGACCTAAACAAAGTTACTAAACATAGCATCATCCTATATACCAGGATACCGACCTAAACCAAGTCACTAAACATAATACCGTCCTAATTACCAGGACGCAGATTTAACATATCAATAAGCATATCAAACAAATACCAGTATACAATCTGAGAAAAGGGTCGGCCTTGGTGCTTAGACCCTGTTGATATAGTAAGGATAACTCACCTTGAAATGTCAATCTGAATTGAAGAATCAAATTCTCGAATCACTATCTCTCCAAAAATCTCGAACTAAGTCAATAATGGGAACATTAATAATGACCAAGAATCCTTATTATAATAATAGTCCAATTTGCCTTTCCTCTAATTTGGGCTAAGGCCAATACCAAATCTATGATCCATAAGTCCTCATATATAAGGCCCATCGTTGGCCCAATTTTCAAATTGGGCCCAACTGCCTAATTGGGCCTAGTTCCAATATCCATTACCAAGACTTGGCCCAAAACACCATATCCATAAAGTCCAACAAAGGCCCAAGTCCAACTAGTCCTTAAACAGCCCAATACCCAAAGCCCAAATATCATAAGCCCAACAGAGGGAATACGCGGGGCGTACTCCTTTGGTACGCGGGGTGTATTCATATTCATGTTGACGGGAAAGCGAGACCCTTGACCCGATATGCTTGGCGTACTGCCTCCTACGCAGGGCGTACGCGACTTTCACAAAAATCCTCATAAGTGCTTATGGCTTAAGCACTTAAGCCTAAACTTCAAATCCATCGACTAAGTATGCCTATGACTCATAAGTCTCTAACTTTATCACTTTGGATGTTCCGAAAGCTCTTAATCCAAGGTCTTAATCCATTAAGACCTTAATACTACTTGCATGAGAAATCTTATACCATTAGGACCTCATTTTTATCACTCAACACTCCATCAAGAGTCTAGAAGGACAAATCATCTCGTCCAAACCACAACATACAACATCTTGGAACTTTTGGGACAAGAAAGGGTTCCAAAATGCTAGAATGGCTAGATCTATGATATACAAGCATAAAGTTTGATGCTTTGTACCCTCTGGAGCTTCTAGGACACAAACCAACTTCAGTTCTACAAACCAATCTTCTTCTCCATCTTCTTGGTGCAATGCCTTCACCTCTAAGAGCTCCAAATACCCACTTACTCACACTCTCACACAAGAACTAGGGTTTGGGACGTTTCTGGAGGATGGAGGCTAAGAGTAATGAGAGAAAATGAACCATAATGATTTTTATATAGCTCCCAAATAGGTTTATTAGGGTTTCCTTCTAATATGAGTACGCCCAGCGTACACAAGTGTATGCCCAGTGTACTAGGGAGTGCCCTAGTACGCTCAGCATACCTTATGAACGTGCAACGTACTCCTCTTGATCCCAAAATTACAACTTAGCCCTTGAGTTCTTCAAGGCTTTACTCTTCCAATTCTCGGGACTACAAATGAAAACGTTTTGGGATGTTACAACTCTCCCCCACTTAAATTCGATTTCATCCTCAAAATCATTCCTTACTATCCCCAATAACCCGACATCCTGAAGAGAACCTCTGCAACCATAGCCTCCGACGAATTTCGAAGGAGACTAAGCTCAAAGGGAATCTTTCCATTCCAAAGAAGACGATTCTACAACCCCATGCGACATACAATTCTTTACCGCCTAAAACTTGCGATCTGGGAACTTGGATTCGATCTGTTCCCCCTGGCCGACCACTCGTACTATCCATCGCTAGCTCTCTTTCCCTACCTGCTAGCAGACTATTCCGCCCTGAGAACCTGAGGTTTCTACCCATAGATAGAACCATGGATCATATTTTGTTAAAACCCTATGCCTAAAACTTATCGTTTGCTCATGCCAGGTATCATGGCCTACTGCAACGAACATGACCGCCTTAATCCGATCAAGCACGACTTGCGACTGTTGGGTTTTGAGCATTCTAACACTCCTATGGTGTACATGAAACCCTATAAACCTTGGATCTATGTTTTCTCTAAAATACATGCAAATAATAATTTCCAAGGTTTACATTCTAACTAGCACGGCTTAGAGAACTTGAATCATAAAAGTACTAGTATAATGACATACCTTTCAGTAGTGGTTGATTCCTTGGAGTTTGAGAGTCTAGCACCAATAGTGTGGATACCTCAAATGGAAATCACAAATCACCACAAACTTTGGAAAACTCTTGAGAGAATAATGTACACTTATGAATTGGCCACCACTCTTATACGCACAAAACTAGTGCAAAATCAAGTGCCAAGGACTTCTTTATATAGTGTGGAGGATTAGGGTTACATCCATGTAAACCTTAATACCCATGACTCTTCCTTTCCAAGGACCCATGGGTTAAAATCTCCATGGACTATCCATGGACTCCCATGCGTGCCAAGCCCATACTAAATAAGCATTAGCCCACAATATATAAATACAAGAGCCCATATTTAATTTGTCACCTTTTTTATCACCAAATTAATTCTAAATTAATTTATGATCAATACTAATTAAATAATATGATTTCATATTAATATATTATAACTTATAATATATTAACAAATCATAAACATATTATTCTTAAAAGGTTATCCAAATCGTTTGGGTGAAGTGCAACACAAATGGACCATGCTGGGTCGGGCCAAGTGCATCTCAAATATTGTTATGGACTTAGACACCTTATCCAACCGTTTCCCACTTGGATAAGTCTAATAACTATATTTGCAGATATGACTTTAGGAACCAATTGACAATCATAGCTCTCGAAACTCTGTTGAACTATGAAGCGCCACTTTAGATAAGTGATCATATAATCCTTTGTTCTCAAGATATCAGCTGGACAAATACATGGAACAACGTCGTACTTATTGTCCAGCAGTTTGTTTCCCGATTTTTGATTTGTTTGACATAGAACTAAATAAAACACATCAATTAGGTTTTGACCGGGCACGGTACATAGGTCAAAACAAAATCGTCGAGGGGCCCAGATACCTCTTCTAATCCTCCATTGATTAGAAGGAACAGATGAACTTCGACTCATATACTTGTTTCTACTACTTGTTGAATTATACACAAAGGCACGTTTTATAACATCAAGTTACTGATGTGTTTTTGTGCAATCAATGCATAACCAAATCATAGGCAACAACTCATATCTCTAGGTTTGAAGACTTATATGATATTATCGTCTCACGATCACTCGAGATAAATTCCATGAAGTGATGCAAGTGAGCGTGGGTTTATTCTAATAGTCAGCACTTATGAGCACCCATGAATGTTGTAGCAACCATTGCTATGGCTAAACACATTTAGTCAGCTACAAGCCCAATTCATGATAGTCTTAATTCATACCTACTTCTGATGTATGACCAACTGTGGATGTTTGAATAACTTAGTCATTCGGAAAGAATGAACTAGTTATTATGGACGTCAAAACATGCAAAGTGAAACACAAGAATAATTGAATCTAATATGGTATTAGCACTTATGAATATGAATAAAACACCTTTTATTTATCACCATATTGGTTACACATTATTTTGTTTCGATTTATCAACTTAACACTTGAATTAAAACAATAGTTGTCCCATGATCCAAGCATGTACACTATGTTTTCTAAAAAATAGTCATGCCATACTCCAAGTATCCAAACTATGTTTGTCTGTGACCCTTACTTTGTGAAATAGATCAATTGAACATGAAATAAACGATGCTCATTTCACAATCCCAAATCCTTACTGTAATGTAAAAATATCAAATTCTTGTCATTTACTGTAATCTGTTAGATTTTAAACTCATATGCATTGATCCTCGTGCAATGACTATGCAAAAAAGTCACAAAGACCTAGCAACAGACACTACAAAGTATTCTAGTGGAGATCAATTCCATGGAATGAAGTCATATTCAAAGTACATTCCTTTGAATATCCTTCTTGCATAGAAGTTTCTAACTTTGTTATAGATTCTTAAAATCCAACTGCCAATATGGGAAATATTCCCATATTCCCATTTTGGCTACCACTTCTGAACAAGAGCTGCCTCTTTTCAGAATATGTCAATATGGCCCTTTCCAAAATCATA